CTTATCTACTGCTCCTAACACAACCAGATGAAGTCAGAATGATTGAGGTGACGTGCCACACGGCGATTTGATCACCCTACCGTTTATGAGCGATCATGATGCTTTTCGCAACACTGTATCTTAAGGAAAATGTTTTGTGCTGTTGATGTGTACCGCTTCAGAGTGTTCTGTCATAGGCATTTACAAACAAACTGCGTTCATTTACACATTAGGCTTTATCTTCTATATTTGAATAGGTAGGCGTTTGTTGCATACTCACTTCTTGATATGAAAATTTCCAAGCTTGTTGATTGTAGAGCGCCATCTATCATAAGGACGGATAGATTAGTAGCAACGTTCAGCATCAGGAGATGCTTGTCACCACATTGAAATACTTCCTTTCTCCTTAAAAATCCACAGTTCCGTTGAACGTAGAATCGTCTACGTATAATCCAGTGCCTATTGCAGCAAGAAGAAAAACTCTCAAGATAGCAGACGGTACAACAGGCCATTTTCTTTTTCCCGTAAATCAGGTTATTATATACTTTCTATAATTACATTAAAAATTCAAAAGTAAAGCCGTTAATGGAAGTTTTTGATTATATATTAGAATGTTTTGATCTCTCTAATAAGAAGGGAAAATATTATCGGCAATCAGAATGGTTTCAACTACATTCGTTCTGAGACTATTGTAGCATCTTCACAATTAAGCAAACCCAATTACAGAAAAAAATGTAATTATCTACATTACAAATTACGAGAGTGTTTTAGCATTGACTAATATAAGAGGCCTCCACGCGTGGCTGATAATAGATATCAGAATACAGAGTACACATTTTACATAGTAATCTATTGATATATCACATCTATAATAGAATATAATGGGTAAATAGACACAATGTACCCCCCCCCCCTTATTAATACATTAATTCTTTTTTTTTGCACACTATACGAGTATTACCTCTAGCCAATTCGGCGTGTTATAATTGGCTAGAGGTATTACTCTAGATCTCCGTGTTGAAGAGCATGTTAGACCAAAAGCTCGAGAAATGAAGAATTGTAGAAAGAAACCCTAACCCTATATTCCTCATTGATTTTATCAAAGTGTAAACCCTCTATATTGCAAAATCAAGAATAAATTTTGTTTATTTGTTCAGAAAACGTTTTAGCATATTCTGGTCGATCTAGATGAAACTCTAACATGACAATTAGGTTTGGATAGAGTCATTTTCCTAGCTTAAATCCAGAATATGCAAATTAGCTCAATACATGGGAAATTTGAATAGTTAGAGATTCGGGAAACGAATTACATCATTTTATCATCACTCTTTATTATTCCATATCTATGTAATAATTTCTGATATTGTAGCCGATATTGCTGAAGGGTGAATTATATCGGTGAACTATGGGACGAAGTGGAATGTTTTTGTTTTATGTAGCCCTGGTAGACGGTATAATTATGGTAGATCACATTTAGTTTCTCTCAGCTTTTATATAATTTTGGTCTAGTTTATATAGATTATCGCGCGTTTCCCATCTGGGTTTTCGCGACGACGCCGCTTCCTCCACCGTGGATCACCTACCCTGGCTCCGTTGCTTCACTCTGCAGCTCTAACCCTGCAGGCAGTCCAAAGACCCTCTGAGAACCACTACTCCCGTGGATCTCCTTTCTCTCTGGCAGTATCTCCCGGCCTTACCACTGGTGAGGAGACACTAGAGACTTACCAGAAGAGTAGCTACTGTGGTGTTGGAGAGAAAGTCTCAACAGCAACCGGCATCAAGTCTGCTAACACTCTTCTATATTGTCATCTTTAATCCACATTACACAATAACTCGAATATCAATTACAGGTATTTACAGTAATTTACATCCCAGGACCACAGCAGTAAGCGACTCCCACACCAGTCCCAGACTAGAAATAGCCCAAAGCGCCATCTATTGGAGGAGGTTGTAGGTTTTTTCAGGCGGATACTCGCAACAATAATTACGCGTTTTATTTTATTTATTTTTCTAATAAAAACATTTATGATATTTGGTAGTGAATGGACAGGAAGTTGCTCATTTATTTTTTTCCTAAATTGGTAGAATTTGTTGTTATAATCTTTGGCATCTACAATTACTGTATTACCTTTGTCTGACAAGAAATAATAGCGCCTTTGTTTTCTTTTATAAGGATTTAAATTGGTCTTATTTTGTCGATTTAAGTTGTTTGAAAAAAAAAATAAATAAAAAAAATAGAGGTAATTTCTGTATTAACCTTTTCCTTGTTTTCATCTGATAAGTTTCTGATTGAAGTGTCTATTGATGGTATTGTTTTTAAGGATATTCAATTTTGTGAAGAGGGGGAGCAAAACTAAGACATCTGCACAGCAACGCTCTAACTTGTGCTGAATTTTATTATTTTTTTGATAAATTAATTACGTTTATGGGTTTTTTTGGGGCGAGATTTTTGGCTCCAATTGTTGAGTGTTGACACACTTTTTTATAAGAAATATAGACTATTTCGACACGTATGTTTCTTTTTGAATTGAAGCAATTTTCTACTGCTCAAAACTTTCCATTTATTAACGCATATCAACGCTTTGCCAAAAGTTTATTTTTGTTCGCTCCTGACGAGGACAAAAGATTTTTGTCGAAACGTCGAGATAATGAAAATATTTACTGGCCGAAGTATCTTTTGATTTTAAAAGCTATGTATATTCAGTTCAATACAGCTGTAGAAATTCTTCCTTTATTTAAAAATGAAAAATCAATATTGTTGAGAAGCTTCTTCTTCAAAATCGACTTTACAGAAATATTCGAATTTATGGGATGTCGGTGGACGAGTGCTATAGTTCATCGATTCTCGACAGCCATGACTCAGGATCGAATCCCACGTTGAGCACTTCTTTCTGAATAAAAAACTGCTACAAGTCAAGTCACCTTAAAAAGAGCGAATATCGATATCATCACTTTTGTGTTAACACCCCGAACCACGGCTCTTCGTTTACAATGGTACAAGCTCGATTATCTTGGAACCGCTATTATTAGTGATCAATGATGTTTAGTGACGATTTGGTATCAGATGATGACTGTATGTGGAGACCACCGGAACAATTCAACTTTAACTGTCGACCGCCACTCTTCACGGACTGCAAGCATCATGGTAGGTTATCCTACAATAACCTGACTTAACATGTCACATTAACGTGACATTGCTATATGAATGACGTTCTATAGCATCATTGTTTCCTGGAGCTGTTTCCCAACATTATGATACCTTGCCACATATCACTTAATGGATCGTTTTTGTGATGTTCTGTCTCTACCATGGCTTGTCTTAACTCCCCTCAATTGACCATATAGAAGACAAGCTGAAACGCCAGCTGCGACAGTTCCTCAACTTTACAGATTTGAAAGCCACAGTCAAAGAACTGCGGACCCGCCTTCCATAAGACTATATAATTTTTAAAATATCATTCTAAAATACCCATTCAAAGAGTCTATCAACAGTATCACTATAAAAGGAAGTTCCAAAAATGCAATATAACAGCGGTATGGTAGATTAAACTGGCGAAACCGCTGAGGAGGGTTCACCACTGATGAGCCAGGCCCTCTCATTAATTTTTCCATTGCAGTAAGGGCAGTAGAAATTGTTTAATATAAAAAAGAATCTTACGCCTTTAAAATAGTTTTGAATTTTGATAACAGATGACGCGCTAGTGCATCATATTATAAATATCATTTGTAGGTTGGAAGTTTGTTTACAAAAACATAGCTACATCGACCAGTTATTTATTTAATTCCTGACGTTTTAATGACTTGCTGTCACTCTCCTCAGACGAGTTGACGTAGCTATATTTTCCAAACTACATCATATAATACTTTGACTTGGTTGCTTAATGTATAGACATATAGTTGGCCTTATACACTCAGGATTATAAAAGGCGCAAATAAAAGATCAACCTGTACATATGATGGTATTTTGATCATATGTTTGTGTCAATTGAATATTAAAATTATTATCTCCATTAAATCCTGTTGAGAAAAATATATATATTCGTAGAAAAGAAAGATCCTCTATTACTTAAAGGAATAATACAATAAAGAAGGACAAGAGATTACATATACATCAGCAGTTCACGCCGACCTGCCCTATCCAATAACCGCTAGCCAACACAATCTAACAAAGCTGTGATATATAGGCAGAGATGCAAATTAGCATTGATAATACTAACAATATGTAAACCATAAAAGAATATCACACTGTTTAACTATTCAAAATATTTCCTATGTTTACTTCCTTTAGCGTTTCATTTTCCGTGAGTCAATTTATGGAACTACGTCACAGAAACTTTAGTTTGACGACATCATTGATTGCCGAGATAATTGTGAGAATATTTTTTTGTGATTCCATAGTACCCAAAGTAAATGATATTATACAATAATATTAAAGGGAGAGTTGAAACAATAATAAACTGATATAGACTTGCTTTAAATTTATCTTGAACCGGATTTGAACCAGCGACTTAAAGGATAGCCGTTGACACATCTAAAGTCCTCCGCTCTGCCAACTGAGCTATTGAGAGTTGTGCTTTAAATTTATCTAGATCACACTGAAGTATTTTGCATTATTCAATAAATATCAAAAACTGGCCATACGAAAATCAAATGCTATTTATCAATAACACTAAATCAAATTTCAATTGTATAATTCTATATATTCAATATATATATATTAAATAGATAGAAGTAATAATTGAAATTTGATTATATAATTATATTATATATAATTGAAATTTGATTGATAAATAGCATTTGATTTTCGTATGATCAGTTTTTTAATATTTCGCTGAATAACGCAAAATTATTTACTTCTTATCCCCAAGTTTCATTTTCCGTGAGTTAATTTATTGAACTACGTCACAGAAACTTCCATTCGAATACATCATTGATTAGCGAGATAATTGTGCAAATATTTTGTGATTTCGTTGAATAACGCAAAATACTTCAGTGTGATCTAGAGGAATTTAAAGCACACAACTCTCGATATCTCAGTTGGAGAGCGGAGGACTATAGATGTGTCAGCAGTTATCCTTAGGTCGCTAGTTTAAATTCCGGTTCGAAATAAATTTAAAAAAGGTCTATATCAGTTTGTTATAGTTTCAAATCTCCTTTATTATGAATATTTAATATCGTTTACTTTGGCGACTATGGGATTACAAAAATATTTACACAACTATCTCGCTAATTAATGATGTATTCGAATGGAAGTTTCTGGGACGTAGTTCAATAAATTGACCCACGGAAAATAAAACTTGGGGAATAAGAAGTAAACATAGAATTTAATGGAAATAGTAATTTACATATTCAATTGACACAAACATATGATCAAAATACCATCATAGGTACACGTTGATCTTTTTATTTACGCCTTTTATAATGCTGAGTGTATAGAACCTCCTATTTTGCCATACATTCAGTAACCAGGTCAGGACGAACCAAAATACTATATGATGTAATGTAGTTTTAGAAAATATAGCTACATCAACTCCCCTGACAGCAAGTTACTGAAAAGTCGGGAATAATATAAATAATTGGTTGATGAATCTATATTTTTCCTAACAAACTTCCAACCAATGAATGATATTTAAAAACAAAATGATGTAGTCTTGTGAAAGGGTTCAACTATGCCAAGAGCTACTGAATCTCTATAAGACCCAAAATGATACCTTTTTCAAATATGGTTACTGGAGATGAAACCTGAGCATACTTTTATGACCCATAAACTAAGACACAGTCATTAGAAGGAAATCATTCCAGCTAACCTAAGAAAAAAATTAAAGTGCTGAGGTCATCCAAAAAGGTGATGACAATTGTCTTTTGGGACATGCGAGGTATAATACTGGTTGGTTTTCTAGAAGAAGGTAGCACGGTGAATAGTTCTCGCTATGTTCTATCTTTAAGAAAGCTTAAGGAAGCTATTCGCGCGAAAAAAAGACCAGAGATTCTTCTTAAATAAGTCAAGTTACACCATGACAATGCACGGCCGCACACCTCCTTCCAGACTTCAGAAGCTATTGAACAAATGAGCTGGTCACTGGTTCCACAACCCCCATACAGCCCAGATTTGGCAACTTGTGACTTTTATTTATTCTCCCCCAATGAAAAAAGTCTGAAGGGACAAAGATTTGAAGACCTACAGGAAGTTAAACGGTCCATAAAGACAGGGTTGAGAAAACAACCTCCAGCATATTTCCAAAGCGGATTTACAGCGTTGGTTCAACGCTAGAGAAAATGTATAGACTCAACTGGAGAATATTTTAAATTATATAATTAACACAATATATTAACAAATATTTGATATATATGTCTACAAAATTTGAATTAAAAGTATTCAGTACTTTTCGAGTTATGGCGAGACTTTGGAACAAACTATGTAAAAGGTACAACTTCCTTAAGTTTTGTCCATGTGTGTATATATTTCAAAATATCCTTTCAAAATAGTGTAGTTAATGAGGGAATATAACAAGGTAGCTGAGAGAGAAAGCAATAAAAAAGAGAATTTTTAAAATTTCCCTCTAATTAGGGTCTAGATTAGCACCACGATAACCTTGACAAGGGAGGTGACCCCGTACAAGCTACAATTCACTCTATGTTGCCAATAATTACCTAAGTTTTCCTAACCCATAATAAAACCATTTTATATTTTTTATTCTATATAATTATTAACTAATGTATCATGCATTTTCTCTTTGACAGCTGAAAGTAAGGATTTTTTTTATCGGAGCAATTTATAAATAAAAAAGATTCTAAGAGAAATTGATTGACACAAAATTAAAAAAAAAAAAACATCATTTGAAAAAAAGAATGTGTCAAACAAGAAAGATTAGCTAATATACATTCAACACACATTTTGAAATATATTTTTGAAAGAACGTTCACGCATAAGTAATTATGAAAGGAAATACAGACCCTGAGCTGCTCAGAAAGATTTTTAGATGGGAGAGCTCCATCTATATGAATAAATATCAACTAAACTCTGTGTTTTCAAATTCATTCCAGGATATTTTAAAATCATTTCTTGACGAATCAAAATCACCAGCCATGTACGCATTTCGGGGCTGTTGGCTCTTGTCAGCGTGATGTAGACTGTATCTCAACTACTAAAAAGGCTGGTCCTCCCCTAAAGGGACTTACTAATAACTTAAAATATATATACAGCCAACAGCCCCAAAACGCGGTTGGCTTTTCTTGATTTGTCAAAGAAGAAGGTTGACCAAACTCCTGAAATAAACTTAATATCAACGTACAGTTGACTTTTATTTTTTCTAAAGATGTCGCTTTGTCATCTAAAAAGCTTATTGAGCGGCTCGGGACATGATGTCTTTTTAGTCATTGTAATTGCCTGACCTTGTTAATTAATTTTATCTTTTCATATACGAGTAATTGTATGAATCGAATTTTAACAATCGAAATCTATGTACAAACTTTGGACACACTTCAATTATTGTTTAAAACTCTCAATGTTATCATTTTAAATTTTCCACGTTATTTTAGATATAAGTTGAATATTAAATTTGAAATATAATGAAAATATGATAGATAGAATGAATGTATTGATTAATTATAATATCTATATATATAAAATTGAATGTCTGTCTGTTTGTCTGTACTCTATAGATTCAAAAACCATACATCCAATCGCCGTGAAATTTTGGGATATTATTAGGTATATCACCGGGAAGGTTTTTGAAAAATAATTTCATGAATATCTTGAATATCCTTAGAGTTATTTGCAGATTTGTAGATTTAACTCGCAAGCAGCGCCCCCATTGTAACGATGATAACAAGTTTTCTTATCACTAAGTTTGTTATCTTAAAAATTATTTATGAAAGTAAGATTATCTCAGGATGACACGGCAATGTGACACGGGAAAAAAATGTCCACTAGATAAAACTATGATTTTCTAATGTAGAAAATTAGGAAAGACAAAATTCAGGATGACACGGCACACAGGGACCGGGAAAAAAATGTTCACTTTATCGAGAGATTCAAATTTACGAGTTTCAAATTATCAAAATATATATATTTTTTTAAATAAGTTTCTAGAGAATTGTTTTAACAAATGTTCGCTAGACAAACCTTTACTCGGGTAAAACCCGGGGCGAAGCCGAGTACGTTTTATAAGTTTATAGAGAATTGTTTTAACAAATGTTCGTTAGACAAACATTCACTCGGGTAAAACCCGGGCGAAGCCGGGCACATCCGCTAGTTATAGTATAAAAATGACAGAACATTGCTTGTAGAGTAAAAAAAGAAGTTTCTCTCTCTATATATATATATAGTAAAAATATATGTTTACACAACCAAAATTTCAAAAATGTTATGAAAGATAATAAAACAAACCTATCTTCAAAATTTAATCTATCCTTCTTCTAAATTCCAGATTTGCACCATTCGTTATGTTTAGAAGCAAAATCTCCCTAAATACATTTTCCAATTTCATCGCGTTTTGAATGTTGAAGGCCATTATCAGAACATAGTATCGAAGACAGAAAGATTATAATTAGAAGCTCTTTTATCATCTCAATACAATAGTATAAACATTGACTTCACAGTTTGTCCATATTACAAGACACAAGATTATGATCGATTATCACATCAGTGATGTTAAAGGCAAGGTGATTGGAATCAAAGTATCAGGGAATATTTGGAATTATTCCATAAAGCAATATTCAAGGCAAGTCTTTTAGGCTCGAATACAGCCGCAAATAAGGGCCTTTTTAAAATATTTATTTTTAAATGCTTATATTTAGAAGAAACGCTTGTAGAAGAGATATTCAACTTGAAAGTTTGCCTATAGTAATGAATCAGAGAAGAAACTTTTTGAAGAGTATTTTATTTAAGTATTTGAAACAATTTTCCAATATTTTGATTGTTTTCAAAGTGTCTCTCTCAAAGGAAATCTAACATCGATTTGAAAAGACGGTATTCTGATGGAGAAAGGTCTGGTGAGTAAGCTGGGTGGTGCAGAAGGTTTATTCCTTCAAAATCTAAGAGTTTATTAATATATAAGCGTGCCTCGCGTGAGGCGGAGTTTTGCTGAAGTAGCACCCGCTTTCGGAGGAACACAAAAACTTCATATATTCTCTCAATTTATCTCAGAATATATCTCAGAGGTTATTCACCGATCATTATTAAAAAGTTAAAAGTGATCTTCTAAATTTCACAAATCTTGACTTTGTGTTCCTGGCTTGGTAAGCTTCCCCGGAACCAATCATTTCTTGTCAAGATTTTAAAAATGTAGCAAATTTTCAATTCAAATATCAAATCCTTCTATCAAATGATCATTTATAGAAGGGTTTTATAAAAATATTTAAAAAATCTTACGCAATAAGTATCTTTATTACAAAAATAAAACGCGAGATTTTGTTATGAACTCAGAAAACTTTAAATTTCTGGAACAAAATCGCTCTGTGTTTTTGTAATAAATAAACCAATTGCGTAAAGTTTTTTTGATATTTTTATAAAAGTATATCGTAGTTTTCTTATATCTGAATAGAGGAGTTTATAAAGAATTTTAACTCTTTTTGACGCTCTTCAAATTAAAGATACTTCGGCCAGTAAATCTTTTTATTATCTCGACGTTTCGACAAAAATCTTTTGTTCGCTCCTGACGAGGACAAAAGATTTTGGTCGAAACGTCGAGATAAAAAATATATTTACTATTATTTTGTAGTTTCTTATCCCCTTGTGTAAAGATTACACGATTATGATATCATGGAATGGGGTATAGGGGTGCAGATTTCGTTGATCATGGCACCATGATTCAGGCACACTTTGGTGAAAGTCTGACTTTGCCTGTAATTTGAGGCCGTTCCTAACATGTCTAAGCATTCTGTAGAATGCTTTTGTGCTCGAGAAAGCTAAAGATTAAAGATTTTGAGAAGAAACCTTTCCCTAGAAGCATAATATCTCACTTTAATTTTGATACAAGGGTTATTTTTATTGAATAAATAAAAACTTTTTACACTGTTAGGTATATGCTAATCAAGACAGTAATTTACTGGATTCCACTATCTTGTACAATTCATCTTTCAAAATCTACCATGGTTTGTACAATTCA